TCCAACATTAACACTTACACCCACAGACCTGGGAGTTGATGAGAGCTTTCAGCACACACAGACTTGATTTCCAGGGCTAATAAATAGAGGGCAATGTGTCTGGGTAACTGTAAGGAAAAGCTAAGGGTTTTTGTAGTGAGGTTTCTGTTTAAAAATTATTAGCGGTTAATATCTTACCTACGGTGGTTGGCGCTGTTGGCGATTTCGAAGCTAATTGCTAGTCTGTGAAGGGCCAAAACCAGACTTCTTCCATCTTAAAAAAAACTCAAATCCCTCCTCCCCTGCCTCAAAAAAAAAAAAAAAAATTCATAATAAGTTATGTGAATGCTATTTTTTAATAACCTGAGAGCCAACCGACCAGATGCTTATTTACACAGGGTGCTATAATTTACATGCGAAACAGAGGTTACAGGCAGTGCGCCACCAATCTTCTTCCTGTTATGGCTGGGAAAGAAACAAAGCCCTTCCAGTCCGAGTGACCAACATATTAAAAGTGTATAAAGAGGAAAAATATAATGGTTTTCACTGCCTTCAGTTATTACTCTAACTGGAAGTAAGGGCTGTTATGAGGGTTTGGGCCACGAGACCTTATGATATTAAAACCTTACATTATGTCTCCTCAAAGCGAAGTCTGTCTCACGGAACGCAAGTTACTTTTCTAGTCATGGAGGTATGGACGTGTCCTTCTCTTATTCTGAAGCAAGACAGGAAACGGTGGTGGATGTTGTCGTTTGGCTCTGTTACAGAAGTTGGCTAATAAACGCTGCGCGTAAAACTGGCTGACAACACTAGCAGAACTCTTGTCATCGTTAAATCATTGAGGTTGGGAGGATTTTTGTACAACGTACCAAAAAAAATAAAAAAAAATAAACGAGGTCAACGTAGGGGGGATTTGTTGAGCGCTGTGCGAATAGAGCAACTGGCTAACCGTTAGCTGATGTTAGCATCTCCCTCACGGCTCTGGAAGCTAAAGCTAAGGTAAAGTGTGACTTTTCTTTTTAATGAAAACTTTATTAAGTGAAAAATGTTAAAAACAATGTTTCTAGCATTGAATACTTGTGTTTTTTTCCCCAAAAAAATCTTGTTACAGCCTTAATTTATTTTCATAAACCCTGTAAAGTCTCATGGACTGGAAATGTTTTACACTAACTCAAAGCCCCACAATTCCTTTAAAATTATATTAGCTTTGTACCCGCTTAGCAACAGCTATTAATATCTGCAGTCAGCACTTATTTTTGATAAACTGGTCAGAAATTAATACATAATTCATTGTTTGTATAAATAAGTTATCAGAAATGTTGTTTTTTTTTAAGTCTCATTAGACATTTATGAGGTTGTCTTTATTTTCTTAAGATGGTTATGAATTATTTCAACGGTCTTACATCGAAAATCCTGAATCATATACCAACACACAACTACATACAGTGTCAAATATTGTAAAAAATAAAAACTTTTTGTGTTCCCAGAGACAGCTTATTCGATGGTCCCCCCATGACTCCAGAAAGGATTTTTGGAAGCAACAAATTGAAATAAATTTCTTCCCTTTCTTTTTCCTGCAAAAGCAGACCACAGGCAACCCAGTAACAAAATAACTGGACTCACTACCTCAACTACTGGTTTCATTCAGTCCCTTTTTGTCCTTCACAAAACATCTGGAAATGCAGCAGAGCTACAGATTACACAGCTGAATATGATCCGACAACGTGCCGGGGCCTGTCGGGAATTCAGATTCAGGGATTCTGCGCATGAAGTGGAAGGGGTTAACCGTATCGCATGGCAACTTTTCACCACTTGCGTCTGCTGTTACCTATTCATTACCTGCTTAACCATCGTAGGGCCCCACTGTGCTTCTCTGTCCCTTCACGCAGGCAGGGCTGCCCGCTACACGGCCTGATTTTATGTAGTCAGCAGGTGGCATCATTAGCCTGAGAATAAAAAATGAAAAGCAATCCCCCCGCGTCTTGCTATGATATCAGAGCAGGGCTCATTGGCATCGCTTTCCTGTTTCTAGTGGGCAGGATGAGAGCAAAGGAGGTGCAAATTTAATATGTTTCGTCATCTGGTTCACATTTGCAAAGAAAAAAAAAAAGAAAAAGAAAGATGAGTGCGTGTACGCATACCGCAGCCGAATGGGTTGTTGGGTCATGCCATGCTGTGTGCGAGCGAGACAACATCAGCCAAGAAACCGCACAAAGATCCCAATCTGGTCTGTGCTGAAGTCACACACACTTGTCTGTTTTACGCCTCCCCTCCTGCTTCCCCCTAATTACGCTGGCATCTCTTTCTCTATCCTTTGCACCTCAGTCGTGTGGCGACGTGAGCGCCGCGTATCAATGACAAGACACTATCTCTCTCTCTCTTTCTTTCTCTCTCAACTGCATGCTTTTGACAAGTTCACGTATCGCTAAGCTAGGCACCAAGCGAGCGAACGGTGTCAAAGTTTTTAAAAGCTGGCTTTCAAACCGATGCAGTTTAGATTCATTTCAATGAACGCTAAAGTGTTGCCATGCTCACGCCCCCTCCCCACTTGTTGCTGCACACTGCCAGCCAGCAGGCTGAACAGGTTCCCACTCTTTTAGCCTACTGACAAAGACAAAATTGTCTCTTTCAGAAAACTGTCAAGAGGCAAAATTCAGGGACATTCAATAAAGATATAGCAACAATATAACTATAGTAACTCAATTAAAACAAGGGGGACAAACTGTTGCTTTTTTGTTTGCTATTTTTTTCCCCAAAATACATTGAGTCACGTTTTTGTTTTTCACTCTTTATTCTCAATATATAGTCCTATCCCACCACTTCTGCACACTGTTGGTCAGCTGGCTGAAAGAAAAAAAAGCTACCACACTTACAATGATAACATATTTAGCTGTTTTGGAAAATCCCTGTGGCAAATAAAACACTCAATTCATGTCACGCATGACTTACTACCATAACAATCTTGATATTTTAGCTGAAATAAGAATTTATTTGCTGTTCTGTCTGAAATAAACGGATTAAATAATGTCATTCATTGTTGTGCTAATGCCATAAAACAGTTTTGTTTTTAGAAGTTGTAAAGGTCATGCCACTGTGCTCTTTACCTCAACATGCTGCTTTCCCTCCATTTGCTGCACACTGCTGGTCTGCTGGCTGAAATAAGACCACTACACAACTAACATTATGCCATCTGAACGTCTGTAGTACACTAAGAGCGTTTCGAAGTTAGCTAGCAGTGATTACCAAATTAAAACCACTACTTTCCACAACTGTAGATTGAATTCAAATGTAGCCCATTCAAAATGATTGAAAGTCAGACTCGGTTCAGCCTTTCGATCACCAGCAACAATCACAGGATGTTTCTTTTTAAAGTTCACACGCAGCAACTCTGTCCATCTAACTCAATGAAAAACGTACAACGGCGTCAATCAATCAGGAACGACGCAAAGCAGAGGTCAACAGCGGTGGGTGGTGGGGCCCCTGAACGAAACTCATCTCTGGGCCTCGTGCAACTTTGGACCGGCCCTGCTACTGAACCTCATGCATCTGGACTCTTTTTTTTTTTAATGTAACATCATTTTTTTCTTTCTTTCTTTGTTTCTTTCCTCTAAGCTGGTTGCACTCAAGGAAAAGAAAATCTGTTCTTGAGGTCAACTGTGCAAGTTAACCTGTTGATCTCACCCTTACTCCTCCTGGACCCAGCAGCACCACCTCTTCCTTCTTCCTTCTTAGTCAGATAAAGACGCTGCGCCCCCCACCACCCTCTTGAAAAAATAAAAATAAAAAAACATAAATATGCTTTACCATACCCTCCACTTCCCCCACCACCACCTCTCTCTCTCTCTCTCTCTCTTCTTCTGAACAGCTCTTTGAGAAAACGGATCAGACCGTGACACACCGTCTCCTGCACGCCAGATCACACAGCGCACGGAGAAAGAAACACACAGAGGGAGCTGAGAGCCGCATGTGTGCCAGTACCCCGCAGTGATTGCCCTGATTATTTGCAGATGGGCAGCGGAGGGCTCGCAGAGTGTGGAGGTCCCCCCACCCCATGGCACGCAGCGCATATGATTAAATTGGTGATTGCCTCAGTATTTACAAGCACCCACCCACCGTATCCTCCACCCTCCGGTGACACCCCCTCCCCTCCATGTCCCAACTCTCTTCTGATCCCGGTGATAGGTTATGTCACGGGTGTGAGTGAGGAGGGGGAGGAGGGCTGCGGGGGCAAAAAGGGAGGCGGAGAGGGTTACTTTTCCCTAATCCGACTGTCTCCTCATTCATTCACAGCAAAAGGCTGGTGTTTACAGAGGGGCTGCCCCCCCGCCCCCTCATTCCCACCCCGGATCGACTCCAGCGCCTCCGCTGAGCGATTGTTATGCAGGTTTCCGACCAACTGTTCAAAGTGGTTATGAGATCAATTAAAACCAGCTTAGGGAAGGAGAGGGAGGCCGGATGGATGGGTGGATTAATGGATGGATGGATGGATGGATGGAGAGAGAGAGAGAGAGAGACGTGCGGTTCAGAAGTCTCGGGTTCGGGACTCTGCAGGCACCCCGGTTTATTTCGGACGTGCCCGAGCAGCAGCGCGTTCAACTGCAGAAACAAGCAAACGCGCGACGATGAGAACTGAACCGGAGGGGAAGCGTGTCGTCGAAGCGCTAAACCGTTCCAGAGAGCGCGTCGTCCTGCGCGTATTTTACGCACCTTTAATTGGTCCTGACATAAAGTGTTTGAGAGACAAAAATATTTCACAAATGTCTTTCCCCCAACTCTCCTTTTTTTGTTTTTGTTTTTGCACGTTTAATGAAAGTATGGTGTGTGTTTTTTTTTTTTTCCACCCAGAAGAGAAATTTTCTGGAGCCTTCCTTGGCTGTGTCTCGTCTCTCTTTCTCGCTCACTTTACGCACACCTTGCCTCTAACTTGGACCCGGCCGCGAGTAAAGGACGACATTAACGCGTTGAGTCGCCCGGTGCACAGCAACAGTCTGCCGGACGCGAGGGTTTGAACTCTGGGTTACCTCTCTTGTTCCTCCTCCAGCGGTGCGACGGCGCCTGACAGTTGCTGTACTCCATACAGTTCAAGACGATCAGGGCAAATGAGAAGAGTCGAAACTGCATCTGGACGGTCGGTCTGGTTTGCTCGGAGTCCAATAAAATGACACAAAAAAAAAAACAAACAAACAAACAAACAAAAAAAAAAGCAGCAGAGAGGAAATAAAAAAAGGCTTAAGAGAACTCCTGTGACTTTTGCTTCTTCTTCTTTTTTTGGTCCAATTTCTCCAGTTTCTTTTTTTCTTGTTCTTTTTCCGTAAAAAAAAGAAAAACAAATGTGTCAAACGTCAGAGACGCGACATGGCATCACGTCTTCGGCTGGAAGCATTTTTTATGATAATATTTTTTTCTTTAAAGCACGCCGGCAATTCTTAAGTTTAATAATGGAAGAAAAAAAAAAAGAAGAACAAAAAGTGTCCGTGCAGGAGAAAGAAAGGGTTGGGGGTTTGAGGGGGGGGGGGGGTAGTTGGTGGGGGGAGAAAAAACAACAGAGGTGTGATAAGAGAATAACGAAATCAGCGCCTTCTTGTGACCGTGGAAGATGAAAGCGGAGATTCTTGTGTCCAGATTGTGATCCCCCCCCCCCCCCTAAAAACAAACACCGGACACCAAACGGTGCGTAACGGCAGCCAGAGTCACAGACGGCTCACTTCTCAAGCAGGAGAGGAGAAGAAGGAGAAGAAGAAGAAGGGGAAAAAAAAAAAAAAGAAAACAGATGGAAGTGTAATCCCGCTTCTAGGTTCCGTCTGAGTGCAAAGTGCGGCTGAGCAGCGCGCAGCATCCCTCTCTCTCTCTGAGTGACTGAGAGGAACTCGCGCCTGGAGAGTGGAGGTCCGAGAAGGAGGGATGAAGAAAAAGGAGGTGAACTGGGAGGGAGGGCTGGTCCGTCTCTCTCTCTCTCTCTCTCTCTCTCTCTCCCTTTTTTTTTCCTCTCTTTGGGTCTTGCACTCGCTTTAACCTGAGTTTCTCGGCCGGTTTTCGGTCTGCCCTGCTCGCGGCGTGCCCGTCTTCCCTTTGGAGAAAAAAAGAGGAGGAATGTCTTGGGAGTTGGGAGTCGGTGGTGAGCTGCGCGTCGTGCGCCCTGGCGTGTGGCTGAATGGTCCTGATGCTCTCCGCCGGTCTCCTCATATAGCCAGGCGGTTGCGTCGCTGTCACGTGCGGAAATTTCCAGATTCCAGCCTCTTTATTTAAAAATGTTGAGGAGGGTATCTTGTTCATCAGCTCCTCCGCTAACCCCCACCTACCCCCCCAAAAACCACCCACTCCAACTACCCACCCATCCATCTATCCATCTATCCATCCATCCATCCATCCATCCATCCTCACTTGGCCGGTTCGAGGTTGCCTCAGGGTCCTAGTGAGCGTGAAAAGTTGGACGACGTTCAAGGAGGGGAGGGGAAGTTCCTATGCCATTCTTGAGTCTCTTGTTTTTCACTGGCTGCTCATTTTAAACGATCTCCACACATTGGACGACTTTTCAAATCCATGCAGAGGCGATCCGAGAATATGTAGGGCCCAAGTCAGAATGGGATTTCTCGGGGGGGCCTTTTTTTCTTTTTATGAAAAATGTTATTAATTTTTCATATTACTTTTTGAATTTGTTGCTATGAGTTAGCAAAAAATAAATAATAATAATAAAATAAAAAAATACAAGACGTCATTAAATCCTAATAGAATAGAACCATTTAAACTTGAAATCACATTCCTATCCAGTCCGATGTTGGTGGACATTAACTGCACCCCAAAGAAATTAGTATTTTTCTCAGCTGAGAAACTTCTGCGTTATGTTAATCTTATGCTAGTGGATGCTGGTACCTGCATTAATCCGCTCCGTCAGCTGCCAGGGGAATAATCTATTGGATTTTGTGCAATGCTACTTTTGCGTTGTACTTTTCCAGGTGCTGGAAGGCAGACCGTAAATGTGTACATGTTCAATATCCGCTACCGTGGTCCCAAAGTTCCACAGGTCTGATGTTTTCATGACCAATTTGAAAATTCTGAAATTGGCCTATAAATGCAGCAGGTCTGGTTAGATGCTAGCTTGTTAGCGCTCTTTTCCACAAATTCTCTGATATGACATTGTTTTTCTGCAAATGAAATTAACAACTTCACTTGAAAGCAGCAAAACTGTTACTTTAAGGACTTCACCCGCCAGTTGTTCCACCAACCAATAATGCATTACGCCAACATAAAATGCTGTTGGTCGTTTTGTACCGGACATTTTCAGGAACAAGATGCAACTCTCTGCATCAGACTGAGCATATAAGTCAATACATGAATTTACTCCTAACCTACTGTGAGAACTGTGGTCTGACTTGTGTATGCAATATCTATTACCAGGGGTCGCAATTAATCATATTCGCAATTAATCATATTTCACACATCAATTAGCCTAAATGGATATGATCTGGTCAAATTATAAATCAGATTTCTAACTTTTTATGAGCATTCATCTCATACTTAACTATAAAACAACAACAAACTGAAATTATCACAGTTTTTGTTTTGTTTTTACTTACAAACATGAGAAAAATTGTCACTCAACATTAACTGTTGTACATCTGGAGACAGATTTTACATACAGAAATGACTCTTCCATATCAGTGAATTTTTCGGGGGTCAGAGGTTAAAATTGAAACAAAGAAAATAAATCAGGACAGTTAAATAGTTCTTATCCGTATTAAGATGCTTTTCATAAAGTTTTGACGCATCTCCTCACACTCCTTCAGTTATAGATTTATTTAATTCTCTTTTTTTTTTTTTAAATAAAAAGTAAATAAATAACTTTCTTGGATTGCCTCTGCATTGCTTTGAGTTTGCTCAGTATCATTAATTCATCAAGATGAGTTACGTCGCAAGGAGAGACACAAAAACTGTCCCCTGCGAATGTGTTTTGAAACCATAAGGCAATCGACCTCACTGCACCGTTGATCTGAGCAGCAGAAACACAAAGAAAACCATTGATCTACAAAGGCACTAAATATTCCAATAAATTTAAAGAAGGGTGGTCATCCTCTCCTTTACCTTATCAGATTGTCACTCCAACCCTGGAGGCACATGAGCAAAAAAGAAACAGACAGACAGACAAACAAAACTCCAAATAAAATTGACGCTGCAGAGGTTCTGAACAAGTGGAGCTGTGTGGGAATCTTCTCAGCTTCATCCATCCTGGAACGCGAGCAAACCACTGCTCTACTCCTTTCAGCCACTAGGTGTGGCACTTAATCTTTTATTTCTTAGAGGAAATTACTTTTATATGAAAGCAACGGCGTCCAAGTGAGAGAGAGAGAGAAAAGAACGTTCTCGAACACAGGAGACTTGACAAAATGCCTCCTATCCATTTGCATTGTTTTTTTTTTTCTTTTCCAGTTTAAACAGCAAAAACCAGAGAAGAAGAAGAGGGGGGGTGGAAAAAAAATCCTCTGGTTGTAAAATCTACTCTGAGGGGAATATCTTTGTTTAAAAAAAGGAGTTTCGGAAACCTTTGGTGACCTTTGGGCTGGCCTTTGTTTATTTGCCTGCCCAGAGAGCAGTGACGGACACCGCGGTCAGCGCGGCTGTTGCAGCCGCAGGCTGCGCTGCTGGTTTGGATTGTTCTCTACAACAACATGCGAGGGCGCACGGCGAAGGTGGACGCGATAATTTAGGCCCTCTGGCACTTTTATCCCCATGATGTGTCACGGAGAAGAGAAAGGGGGCCGGTAAACCAGTCACTCTGCCCTCCACCCCCTCGCTTGTTGCAGTGCACACCAGTAGGGGGAAGGGGGGTGGGGGGGTGACGTCAGCAGCCGGACGGCCTGGCCCGGAGCCCTCGGTGCCGTAACAGCAATGAAGGGAGAGCGGCGCGTGCACTCGGCTCCCCGGGGATCCGGCCTGGACGGCTTTCATTGTGGGTTTGGTCAAAAGTTTTCTTGGGCAAAAGAAAAGGACAACAGAGAGGAGGAGAAACAACCTGTCAGAATCTCTGAAATGTCAACGATTCAGAAATAACCCAACATGACATTTTAAAATGGAGATAAACCATCGCGGTCCAAAGATGTACGAAGACAATCGCAATGGAGGCCAGCGCTGGTCTTTATCTGCCGACGAAGGTCATTTGATAGAAATCTAAAGAACAGATGGAATAAAGGAAGGAGAATTTTTACAAAATAATAATAAAAAAGGCTGCCAACTTATCCGTGAGGCATTTCAAGAATATATTTCATACTTAACAGTTCAGTCTGTGGGGCTGAACAGTAATTTGCTAACGATATCGAGGTGGACATGATCAATATCAACACATCACGTGTCTGACAACAGCACAGCATTCTGGGGGATTTAGGCAGAGAGTTAAGTCACAGTGTGGCATCAACTGGTTCGCTTGTTTGGTTTCCTGTTGAGCAAAAATAATTTGGTCATTATATCTGGACGAGTCAGCTAGTAGCAGGAAATATTGGCCATGAATGTCAGATGATTATGTTTCGTGGTTCCTGATGAATATGCCGACACACCAGCAAAGCATTGTGGGATTTGGGATGTAAGCCGAGGACCAGCGGGCTGTCCTCGTGTCTCACTGGACAAAATCTCACCAACGGGTCTGAGTTTAAGTTTAAGATCGTCTTTATCTTGAAGGGTTTCTTGTACATTGGTGAGGAAATGTTTCAATTAAAGAATGATGCAAAGTACAAAGTTAGGCTGAGATTTTTAATGACCAACTGAAATCCTTGAATTTTTGGGAAAATGTTTCTTTCACGACAGTCTGTTTTGTTTCATTTACATTTTGAAAATTAACCAGCTTTAGGAGTTAAACTCTCGAGTAAAGATCATTTCTGTATTCAAAAATGTTTTTATTGATCTGATTTAATATTCATACTGATTAACAGAAAAAAAGACTTCCAAACATCCAACTGTGTGTAATTTATCTATGTAACATCTTTCATTTAGTGATAAAACTCCTGAAATACTTTTTAATAATACTCTTTTAATTTATTCAGAGGTCTGGACACTTAGGTGCGATGCGTCCACTCATCAGAAAAAGGTCAGATATTTGAGTTTCCGTCCAGATGGTCATCGGTCCGATCCGATCCAATTATGATCTGGCGATGCCTCGTTTCGTCTCGGTTTTTATTATCATTACTGCAGCAGCAGCGGTTTACGCTCCGCAGGCGACAGTTCCTCCTTGCTGAAGTTGAGAACAGGATTTACATTTTGACGAAAAACTTTTCCATTACGCAGCTTTAGGGACAAAACGTGCAGAAAAAAACCATTTAATATTGCAACAGTCTTGATTAATCGGGTTACAGTAAAAGGAATTTGGAGAAATATCGGCTAACAATTAATATCTTATGTTTCAGACTGAATAAACTGGGGGGCAGCAAAGCTGTGGAAGGAGCAGGTTTTCTTCTTTAGTCCATGGCGCAGTTATGTTTATCA